TTGTAAATAAAGTTCTATTGGAACACAGGCACATTCATTCATTTGGATATTGGATATTATCCATGGCAATTTGTTTGTTTGTTTTGAGATAGGGTCTTGCTATATAGCCCAGGCTGTTCTTAAATTCATCATCTTCTCACCTCCACCTCCCAAGTGCTTGTATTACAGGCATGTGCCACCACACCTGGCATTGTACCCCTCCGGCTTACAAAGCTAAAAATATTTGTTATCTAGTCTTTTACAGAAAAAGCCACTGCCCTGGTGCATGAGTTAGACAACAAATGCATCAAGAGAATAACATACATTCCTGATAGTGTCATGCACAGAGAACCAAAAGCTAGAGGATGTGACTACAGGGGCACTCTTTGGGCAGGAGGTCAGGGAGGCCTAACAAAGCTGAGACATGAACAAGAAGAAGCTTACTGGGTGGAGGCAGCAGAGGGGAAAAGCATTCTAGTAGGGAGAACAGCCAAGTGCAAAGATCCTGAGGCAGGAAAAAGGAGGCCAATAAGGTGGTTATGCCTCAAGAGGGCAGACATAGGAAGTGTAGTGGCAGGAAAGAAAGGAGACAGCAAGGAAGTTGCAGGAAGTTTTCCCTTCCAACTGGTTCTAAGCAGAGTAAGACCATTTTTCTTTCTATTGCTATTTCTCTTGATTTTTTTTAATAGAATTGATTTTTTAGAACAATTTCAGGTTGCAGAAACATAGGGGAGGTAGGCTAGGCATGGTGGTGCATGCCTGTCATCCCAGCTACTTGGGAGGTAGAAGAGAGAGGATTACAGTCCTGAGTCAGCCACGGAAAAGCACAAATCTCTAAACGAAAAATAAACTAAAGCCAAAAGGCTGGGGGCATGGCTCAAGTGGTAGAGCACCTGCCTGGCAAGTACCAGGCCCTGTGTTCAAATCCCAGTACCTCCAGAGAGAGGGAGGTGTGGAGAGATCTCTCCCTGTCCCCACGGGGAAGGTCATTAGCTTTTATGAACCCCTCGAGAGCACAGGAGTGGGACATCTGATCAAGTCAAGGAACTCCACAACAAAGATCATGCCAGGCAAAGGTAGACTACAAAAGCAATGCACCCAGTCTTCAGGTGATAACTGTTTGCTGTTTGTCTTTGCATGCTGGCAAGAACTTTGCCGCTGAGCTGCACCCCAAGCCCACATACAAACTTCTTAATACACATTCACTTTCATGTGGATCAGTACAAGTGTCTGCAACCAGCACATGGACACCCACAGCTTCAGGGACGCTATTGTTCAGGAAGAAACCAAGATTACAAAAGTGAGTCACCCTGGATCCATTGGAAAAGTGCCACTCAACTGATGGGATGAGGTGTAGCAGGGTATGGTGATTGCAAGGGTATGGAAGTGCTACCTCTGGGAAGCCTGGGCAGGGACCTGCAGGGGCTCAGTGACTGGAGAAGCCAGGAAGACTGCCCATCCTCATGAGCAGGGTGGGCATGGGTGTCAGCTCTTCTTGTCCCAGGGCTAGGGAGGGCAGACAGACAGCAGTGAAGGACCTGGATTGAGGAGTGTAGACAGGGCACAGTTTGCAAACAGGAGCCTCTTGCTCTTAAGGGCAGGGAGGACAAAGGAAAGGGAGAACTCAAGGCCAACACAGCAGCTGCTGCGGGATAAAGGCTAAGTCCAGGTTCCCTCCTGGGGGTGGCTGTGCCCGCAAGGGACCCTAAGCAGTGTCTAGGGACACTTGTGGCTATTACGACTGGGGATGCCCCTGGCATGGAGTGGGTGGAGGCCAGGGACACTGCTCAGCACCTTGCAGGGTACAGGACACCCACCCAGAGAAGGAGGCAGGTCACAGGGTGGGTGGGACAGGTATGGACTAACGAGCTCAAAGCTCCTGGCTGGGGTGAAGTGCTATAGGGCCCCTGGCCCCTCAGACCCTCATAGCCACCTAGGAGATGTATGTTTGCCATGCCCATTTTACAGATGCACAGAGGGGGAATACGAGCACCAGAGACACACCCTGAGGAGGGACCAGAACCTAAATTCCAAAGCCTAAGGGGGGCATAGCACAGAGGCCAGAACCCCAGGATGTCACCAAGAATGCATTCGGCCCTTCCTCTACTGTCCCTCATCCTAAGCCAAGAGTGGAGGCCCCTGGCATGGCACAGGTCTGAGGGACCGGCCAAGCAGCTATACTGCAGGTCTTTGGAGTCTGGCCAGGAGCCCAGGACAAGGCTGTCATAAGGGCCAGCCATCTGTCATAGTATGACCAGTGCAGGCCTGTACCCCACAGTCCTCTCGCTCCCCGCCCCCTCCCGCCCATGGGCTTGTGAAGGCTGACTGCCCCACTCCAAGCTCCTGAACAAGTGGCTGGCCCAAGGCCACACAGCTGTGCACCCTATCATGCTTCTGGGTCCTGGGGAACAGCCTTAGGAAACAGCCACTCCCAAACTGAGCCACGCCCAGGGCAGGTTCATTTCACACACATGGCCTCCTGTAGCTCCCTGTGCTGGCCCCAGCTGCGCACCGGTTACAGCTGTGACCAGGTCCCAGGGTGCCCTCCTGGCTTTAGTCACCAACAAAATCCCCACTACACCCCAAGTCTCCTGGAGTCAGGACTCCTCCCAACCTGCCTGGATGCATGCCCAACCCCCACAGGCCAGGTGATCCTCACAGGTGTCAGATGGCAGGACAGATGGCTCTCCAGGGTTGTTGAGGCACCAGGGCCCATTGGGGGAAGGGGCGGGTGCAGGACAAGTGGAGGCCAGAGACCAGCAGAGGCAGTGGAAAAGTTAGCAATCAAATCTAGGCAGGGTGGTTAAAGTGGGTGCTAGGGGCACGGAGGCCAGCCCCTGACCTGCCCAGGAGGCTCCCGCAGGAAGGGACAGGGATGGAGGACAGGCTGAGGATGGAGGACCAGTCTTTTTTTTTTTTTTTTGATGGGACTCAGGGCTTCCTGCTTGTAAAGCAGGTACACTACCTCTTGGGCCACACCTCTGATCCAGGGGTCGGTTTTTACAAGAAACAGAAAGCACCGCAAAGACTCATAAATGACAGCTTTAAGCTCTGGGATTTAAGTCTTCTTAGCAGCCCACTCCCCAAAGAAGAAAGGATTAGAAAACGCAAGAAAATCAATTGTTATTAGGACCGTATACATTTTGAGTCTCAGTACCGACGCACACAGGCACGCATGCACTCAGGCACGCAGCGCACAGCGTGGCTGACAGAGACACTTCCGCCCAGAGCACCCCACAGCATTTGTGTACCCCAATCTCCGCGGTAACCTCCACCAGGCCAGGATGGGATGGTCTGCCCGCCCGGTGCCCCAAGCACCCAGGGAGAGCACCAAGACTTGCCAAATAGCTAACCAGAGGCACAAAAAGAGGATCAGCAAGTTTTAGAAAGCCATGCTCCGCGGAGCATCAAAAGTTGACTCTCCCACTTCCCACTCTGTCCTTGGGCTTTTGAAGAAGAAAAGACGAAGATGACACGATGCCCATTGCTTTCCCAGGGTGCCAAGAAAACGCTGGCTACTCTGCTGACACGCCCTCCCCTGGCTCTTAGGCAGCTATTATCTGAGAATTAAGGGAGTCATTAGCTCTTGTGGGGCGGTGACAAAAGCCCAGAGGAGTCACCTAATGAGCGCATTTTAGGGCAGGTGCTGTTTTGAGGCACTTTCTTCCACCTAGAGACAGTGTGATAAGTGGCTCTTGGGACAGATTGGTGGGACACGACCCCAAGCCCTTTGCAACCTGGAATCCTCAGACCCTACGATGGTGCTGGCACTTAGGCGGACACACGGGGACAAGCTGAAAAAGTGCCTTTGCCAGAAGCACAGGGAAAGAGACACACACACTTCACATATTCCAGGATCACTGGGCTCTATCTACTGAGCCGGCCACCTTCTCACTAGTTTTGCAACTCGGGAAACAGTTCCCAGGTGCCACTGAATTATTAAAACAAAAGCATCCTCCCCCAACCAGACAGATGGGACAGGCGAAAAGCAGCCCTCACCTCCTCCGCCTGGGGATGGGGGAGTCAAAAAACGTATAAAACCTTCCCCTGTGCACAGTGAATGCAGACCCCAATTCCCTCTGATATCCCCGCACCCCCGGAGGAGACCCAGGCCCTGGCAAACCTCAGGACAAACACATTTCAGAATGAACCTGTCCCCAGCTGCCACAGGGACGCCCACGGAGGACCGCGCAAGGGGTGGCCACGGGAGCAACTGCACCATTCATTTCCACGGAGAGGGGCTTCCTCCGAGATGGCGATGGGTGGGAAGGAGGGGGACAGGGAGACGCATCTTGAAGCTGCCATTGCCTAGCAAGTAGGTACATTTTTTTAATTAAAAAAAAAAAATCCAGATTGCGTGTTTATTGGAGGGGGCGCTCTGGAACATGGTGGGGGACCAAGTTTGAAAGCCACGATTGCACAGCAGGTTGACGCGGGGAGGGGGTGGGTGCAGGGATGGGTATTTGGGGGGCAGCACTGGGTGTCCACGCTGGTGGCTTCTCCTGAGTCTCCTTGGTGCCCTAAGTGCCAGAAACGCAGGCAGGCGTACCAAGGGCCTGGGGTCTTTTATTTCTTTTTCTTTTTGCTTCTCTTCCTTTCCTTTTTTTTAAAAAAATTATTATTAGGATTGTTTAGAATAATAAAGAGAAGGGCCGGACCGGGCCACCCACGCTGTCATCTTTTGTGCGGGACGGCAGGGCCGGCTGGGCCCAGCCCCCGCGCGCCCCGGGCCCGGGAAGGGACGCCCCCGCCCCCGCCCTGGGCGCGCCCCGCCTTTGTCCGGCCCAGCCGCCCTCGCCCGAGGACCCCCGGGCGCCCCCGGGCCGGGCGGTTAACGCCCACAACCGCCTCGCCGGCCGGGACAAAGCGCGACGGCCGGGCCGAGCAGGCCGCGCCCGAGGCCTGGGCCTCGAGTCCCGGGCGCGTCCGCAGCCGCGAGCTGCGGCGCGGGGGCGACACGGCGGCAGCGGCGGGGCCCGCGCTTGGACGCGGCCGGCAGGCCGGCTTCCCCGCGGACTCACCTGAGGCGGCGCGCGCGGCCCGGTCCGGAGCAGCGGCGCGCGCTCCCCGTCCTCGGCGTCGCACCCCCAGGCCCAGCTCGGGCCGGGCCCCGCTCGGTCGCTGGCTACCGAGCTCTCCGCGAGCGCCCCGGGCGGGGCTTATGAGGAGGCGCATCAGCTCCGCCCCGGCTGCCATTGGCCACCGAGCCCACGCCCGCACGCCCATTGGCTGCGGCTGACAGCTCCGCCCCTCCCCTCCGCCGGGCCCATCAACACAGCAAGGCCCGCCCTCCGCGCATCACGATTGGGCGGGGGCAGGTGCCGGCTTCTCCTCTTCATTGGCCGGCCGGCGGGGACACGCCGGCGCCCACTCACGTGCCCGCTGACCGGCTCCGCTTTCATTGGATACGGCGCACGCCAACCAAGAAGGACGCTACCAAACTGACGGCGTTGGGCCTCGAATTGACAAGGGCGCCTCGGGGACCGCCCAACTACTGTACTAAGGGAAGCTCGGATTGGCTTAGAAAATCAGCCCAAGGCACCGATTGGCCGGGGCAGATGCCAATCATTGTCCGCTCGCGCCGGACCCCGCCCTCCTTATCAAGCCGCGACTGAGTACGTGAGAACCCGCACAACATCAGCGCACCCTGTCTGGGACGCGGAGAGATAGAGTTCGAGACCCGTAGCCGGAATTTAGGCGCCCAGTTCCCCAAATTTGCAGTGTGCCAAGCTGGGAAACATTGCATCTAAAAGCAACCCATTTTGCAAAAAACTGATAATTACAAAAATATAGTCAGGCAGCTGGCGCCAGACGCACCCCCGGGGCAGGTTCGTTTCCACCGCCAATGAGCAAACATTTGCCCAGGGACAAGGCCTTGGGAAGAGTTAGACTTCCTCCCCCGAGCTCCCTCAAACCCATCTGGGTTCAAAGCTCCTCTGAGCCTGTTTCCCCTGTGGCTTTGATAGTAGTACACACCACCTGCCTGGGATGTTGCAAGTGTTCAGTGGGACATTTCTCTAGTTAGCAGTTCTCTGCAACATGTGTGGTGCCTCCCAGCTGGGCACTTTGCAAACGGGAGGACTTGGTGCCCAGTTCCAGCTACAGGTCTCCACCCCCCCACACACACACACCCTCCCCGGGTCTTGGACCAGGGTTTGACTTTGTGGCTTCACATAGTGAGCATTTAATTAAGGTTTGCCATCATCACTGGAGTCCTGGGCCAGGAAGCAGTATAATTTAATATTTTAAATAACATTGTAAATACATCTCCCCTACAACCCAGCAAGCAGTTCTTCCTGAGGTTTTATTCTGAAGCCTTTGCACAGTGCAAGGTTGCAGGCTGCAATGGTTAAACACTCCGTAGGGCACTGCACAGTTACCTTGAGACCCACCTTGCTCTGGGATACTTTCTGGGATTCTGATGAGACAGCAACATGTTGCCCAGCAACCAGGATCACAAGCTTTCTAGAAAGTATTTTAACATCTGGGCACGGGTGGCTCGTGCCTGTAATCCTAGCTGCTTTGGAGGCTGAGATCAGGAGGATAGAGGTTCAAGGCCCCATCTCCAAAATAACCAGAGCAAAATGGACTGGAGGTGTGCCTTTAGCAGTAGAGCGCCTGCTTTGCAAGTGTGAAACCCTAAGTTCAAACCCCAGACCCATTAAAAAAAAAAAAAAAAAGTGTGTCAATGCCTTAGGAAACAGCCACCCCCAAACTGAGAAAATTAATCTTTGGGGAGAGAGATCCACACTGGCAAAATGAGGCCTCAAAGGGTATTTGAATCTATTCTGGGTGTTTAAAATTCTTATGGGACCGTATTCCCAGATTCCTCATGGAATTTAAATTTAATTTTAAAATAGGAAATAGAAAAAGCCCTCCAGGAGTTCTCTAAGCAGGGGGAAAGACCTATGGGGTGGATAATGGGAAAAGCCCATTAGAAGGACAGTCACAAGGGGATTTCCCACACAACCATTTCTGTCCCACTCCCAATTTTGTCCTATAAGTTCAGTGATTTCCAGATGCCTGGATTTCTCAAACTGATTTCTAACTTTTTTCTTAGTTAGGGTACCTAAACAGAATATCAACTTTATTTTGCTTAGGGAGACATTATTTGTAATGCCATCTGTTATATGGAAAATATATTAGTAACCAGTAAATGTAGATGGTAGCTATATTTGAAGGCTCATCAAAATATTCTTTTTTCTTTCTTTCCTTTTTGGTGGTACTGGGGTTGGAACTCAGGGCCTCACGCTTGCTGAGCAGGTGCTCTGCCACCTGAACCACCCCCCTAAACTCTCCACACGTTTGCCACATCCTTGGGTTAGCCATTTACCCTCTTGGTACCCATTTCCTCAACTATAAAACAGATGTAAATGAGAACTCTGAAAGGATGTTTTACAGTTAGCTAGCAACAGCACACAATGGATACAAAATAAACACACATAAGAAACGTACAAGGGAAAGTGCAGAAAGTGTTGCAGCAAAGTGCAGACCAAAAGGCAGCAAGCAAGTTGCCATTTTGTTCCTCATGTAGTCTACAAAGTTTCTAAAGTGCTCAATGCATTAATTTTGGAACCTGAGGTGGAGGCAAAGAATGAAAACTGTTCCACATTAAAAAGTCAAGACTGTGGCTGGAGCAGGTGTGGCTCAAGTGGTAGAGTAACCAGGAGGCCTTGAGTTCAAACCCCAGAACAGCCAAAAAAGAGTCAAGACTGGCCTGGCACCAGTGGTTCACGCCTGTAATCCTAGCTGATCAGGAGAATCACAGTTCGAAGCTAGCCAGGGCAAATAATTCGAGAGACACTGTCAAAAAAACCCACCACAAAAAAGAGCTGAGTGGCTCAAGTGGTAGAGCCTGCCTAGCAATCGTGAGGCCCCGAGTTCAAACCCCAGTGTGGGGGTTGGGGGTGTGTGGGGGTACATCAAGGGCCAGGTGCGTGCCCAGCACCTGAGAGACATGAAAGCAGGATGTCACAAGGTCAACCTGGGCTACAAAGCAAGATCCTGCCAAAGAAAGAAAGAAAAAAACAATGAGAGAAAAAGAGGAAGCAGGTGTGTTATAAAAACATCCACATGCTGAAAAGTCACTCAGCCACGCACAGGACCAGGCTCTGCCCCAGGCTACACCACAGAGGGACCCCGAGGACGCGGTGCTCAGTGAGAAGCAGACACACGAGCACCAGCCTGTGACTCCACTGATAGGACACGGCTAGAACAGGAGGATCCAGAGGCAGGAAGTGGACTCCTTGTAGTGATTATTCATGGGGACAGGTTGCTTTTGGGGACAGGGTGCTTTTTGGTGTGATAGAACATTCTAGAATTAGATGATGGTGATGGCTGCAAACTCTGAATGTTCTAAACACTGAACTGTACAGATTCAGTAGGTGAACTTCAATCTTACCAAAGCTGCTGTGAAAGAATAAAAGGAAAAACATCAGCCAGGAGAGAAATATGGCCACCATTACCAATATTATTGCTGTATAGCAATTTCAAATACTTCTGTGGGCTTTCACAACTTTTTTTGGGGGGGGAGGGAAGAGGAATGGGGATTTGAACTCAGGGCTTCTGGTTTGCAAAGCAGGCATTCTTACTACTTGAGCCACAATTCCAATCCCTGGCTTTCGTAACTTTTACTCATACTGCTTTCAGTGAAGGAAGCATCCAAAAACCAGTGAGCAATCTGGACAGCGCCCTCCTGGACTCTATGGCATGGGCCTTGCACAGGAACCACTGGGGCCCACTCCTCAGACCTGGGCGACTTCCTATATCCCTATCATACGCACACGTCTTGTTGCAATACAACGTATCATACAATATACCCACTTACAGAACAGCGGATTCTGGCAGACCCACAGATCTGTGCAACCATCAATTTAAAAAATTGTCGTGATACCCAGAGGCCCTAGTCTCTTTTTCCTCTGGCCTAGCTCCTGGCAGCCTCTAACCTGCTTCCTGTTAGATACTTCACCTGGCTAGAATGACATGGTCTTTTGTGACTTTTTTCAAAGATGTTTTGACATGTTAACCATCAAAATATGCAGATTCTACTAAAAGATGTGGCCTCTACTGAGTCTACCTGCCCATGAGATCACTCACTTTATCAATAGCGTGGAGGGAGAATTTCACCCTCAGGATTTTACCAACCTTGCCTTCAAGTCTTTAAAAAAAAACAAAACACCTTGTGCTTGGACTGGAGGCATGGCCCAAGCACCTGCTTAGCAAGTCTCAAAGCAAACAGGAAGCCCTTAGTTCACCCCCAGTCCTTGGCTTGTGACCTGGAAGCACAGTGGCAGTTTGATCTGTCCCCATAACCAGTTGTGCTCTCACTTCCTCGGGTCCACATCAGAGAACTCCGTTTGGCATGGAATAGGCCCTCAGTGGGCCCCTCATAACCCATTCAACTGTACACAGGGACAGTGCCCCAGCCTTGGTGAGAAGGTGGCCAGCCCCTGCTTCCACATGGGAAGGACTGTCCAACTTGAGGCTGCCAGACCAGAATCCTGACAGGCCCAAGTCACCAGGACAGTGTAGTAGCTTGCAGTGCCAGGTCCTGACAGGGACAGTCAGATCTGGGCCTGCCTAAGACTTGACACTTTCCTTCTAGACCTCGTATGTCCCAGCATCAATAAATGCATGCTGCTGTCCACAGCAGTGGCTGGCCTCACGGAGAGCTCAGAACATTCCACCATCACAGAGGGTTCTGCTGGACTAGAACATTCTAGAACAGGACCAGCACCCTCCTGTCAAGAGTAAACACTTGACTTTGAAGACCAGATGGTTCCTCTCAAACCCACTCAAAGTCACCATAAATGGTATAAGTGTTAATGGGGAAGGTTGTCGATAAAATTTTATTGACAAAACCAGGCAGGGGCTGGAACTGGCCAACCCCTGCTCAGAACTGTAAAGGACCCAGCATGACTGGTACAAGGCAAGTTTCGGTAACACCCTTGGCCCACCACCACTGAGACCCTCTTGGACCTCAGTTTTCTCACCTACAAAGCTTTCATTTCCTACAGTCCTTCTCTCGGGTTCTCACAGAGAGAAAATGAAACGACTAGCGCTATGAAGTTTGCAAACAGGGAGACGCATGCAATCAAATACACCAGTGAAAAACATTTATTCTGAGACTCTAAAATCTGGACAAAGAATATCAAACTTTAGAAAAAGCCTACACAGAATCTCAGTATTTCTTCCCTAATGCATCAACAACCTACTAGGGGAAAAAAAGAAATTCAGACCTTTGAAAACGGACTTACTCCAGTTTGTGTGCATTTGTGTGATTTAAAACATCCTTGTTCTACTGAGGTACGAGCTGCAAACTTTGGTAAAGTTAGAAAAATTCACAAACCATTCCAAAAAATACAAAAATAAAACAAAAACCAAACTAAACAAAAAAACAAAAACGAAAAAAACCCTAAGTTATATCTTTCTTGATACATATACAGTAACTACAAAAAAATTCATCTTAAAAAAGCATTCGTTAAAAAAAAAAAAATCCACTCTTGTAATTCTCAATTGCTGAGTTTAAGGAAAACACTGAACTTAAACGTCGATACGAGTGCCCAGGACCCAGCGGGCCGTGGGGGAGAAGCAGATGGCACAGCTTTAGAATGTGCTTGGCAACAACTCAGTGCTAAGAAGGAAGAGCCCCGTCTTTAGAAAGAACAGACGAGCCGAAGGCACTTGTACATGGCTTCGTGCGCCTGCTTCCTGGCCTTTTGTCCCCAGCAGGTGACGCCCGGCCCCAATGAGAGTTCAGTCCAGCTGAGGTAGTTTCTGCTTGGCCCCAGTGCTCTGCCCATGGGGACACAGGACCTTTTCAGGCGGATCTCGGGCCCCATGGGGACGGCGTTGAAGGTGAGAGTTTAAACTGGGCCCAGGAGCCCTGTCCAGTTCTTACAACGTGACAGAGAGCTGGGTTCCACCACACCCAGGGCCACCACTGGAACCATCTTGCTGGCCGTCAGGAAGGTGCGCTGCCTTTGACCTTGGGGGCCAGACCCAGAAACCTTTGCAAAGATTGTTCTAGGCAGTCAGACACCTAGCTAGTCAGTGGCAGGAAATGACGACTTGGCATGAGTAACATATGCAGCCTTTGGGGCACATAGTTCCTAACTCCATCTTCCAAAAATTGGGTTTTCTTTTGTCTTGCAGATAAATTTCAGGCTTTGTATTAAAAAAAAAAAAAAAAAGCAAAAAAAAAAAGAAAAGAAAAAGAAAAAACAAAAACACAAAACACTGAGAAGTCCAAGAACAACACTGAGAAGCCAGAACACGAGCAACCTGAAAGTGTATAGATTACACAAAAAATAGGGAAGACGAGCCTTTGTAGGAAAGGGAAGAAAACTACATGTTTAAATTAAGCCCGCTAAGAACAAACCAAGGGCCAGAAAGGCCAGCGATTGGGTTTCTGAGGACACCACCCGAGGGATGTGTAGATCACCGGCCGTTGCCGTAGCCAGGGAACAGCTGGTTGAGGATGGTTTGCAGCGGCTGGTTCACCTGCGTGACGTAGCTGCGGCCAAGGTCATAGCGACAGGCTGGACAGCTGAACACCTGGGCCCGGAAGGACCTGTCCAGACAATCCTGCAAGATAAGGAGCAGGTGAGGAGCCCACCCCCACCCCAGGCCGCACCCACTAAGAGCCAACCCACAGACACAGTCAAGAATAATGACTGACTTCTAGGTCCTGAGGTAACCTCTGACCCTTAATCTCTCTTTTTTTCCCTTAATGGTACTGGGGTTTGAAATCAGGGCCTCACGCTTGCTAGGAAGGTGCTCTAACACTTGAGCCACTCCACCAAACCTTTTTTGTGTTGGGTATTTTCCAGATAGGAATCAGGAACTGTCTGCCAGGGCTAGCCTCAAACCTCAGTCCTCCTGACCTCTGCCTCCCAAGTAGCTAGGATGACAGGCATGAGGTTTTGTTTTGGTTTTGATACAGTGTCTCACTGTATCCAGTGGTCTCAAACTCTCAATCCTTCTGCCTCAGCCTCCTGAGAAATTGGAATTACAGGCCACTACACCTGGCCTCAATCTCACTTTTAACCACTCACTGTTCATGGCCAGCCCGGATCCCCAAGGACCCTCACAGGTCATGCCACCTTCCAGATGCATCCCTAGCTCTAGTCTCCTACTTAATGAGGCCTTTCCAGATGCCCCCAGAACACAGAGGCAGCCTTCCCCTCCTCCACCTTCTGGAACCTCTCTGCTTCCAGGTGTGATTTGTCTCGTTCATCCTACAGACACCAAACACTGTGCCCTCCGCAGTGAGTAATGCTGAGTAAATGCCCAGCAGGGGAAGCAAGGGGGAGGCAGGAGAGATGGCAGGACAGGGCCAGCTCTCACCGGGGGAGGCAGGAGAGACAACAGGATGGGGCCAACTACCACTGGGCCCACAGTGGGGCCCCAGTGTGCCTGGGCTGCAGCCCCAGACCCTGCAGGTGCTGGATAGGCAGGAAGCCCTCCTCCCTATCCCTCAGGCTTCTTCTCAGACCTCAGCCAGGGAACCGGCCAGGAAGGAGGGTAGCCAGTGAATGGTTCTGAGGCAAGCAGGGGCCTGTAAGGGTAGGGTGACTAGAGAAGACAGAGGCAGGGGGCCAGCCCAGGTCCCAAAAAAGGCCAAGGCCATGTAACAGAGACCTAAAGCAGTTGCAGGAGCAAAGCCAGCAGGCCTATGGGTGGGAGGAAGGGCCATCTTTCCAGACCTTCTGCCTGCTCACCTTACACACATTGTGCTGGCACACGGTGGTGACGGGCCGGAACACCAGCTCCTGACAGCAGATGCACTGGAAGGCCTCCTCCACTTTACTCAGGAACACCTGCAGCTGGGGGCAGGGCATGTCACAGATCCCCTTCGTGAAGGGCTATAGATCCCAATCCTGTCCCCACGCCACTCAGGAGGCAGGGGTGCTTGGAGGAGGCCAGAGACCCCAAGTGGAAAACAGAAAAATCTCAGTGAGATAGGTGCAGCGACTAGCAGGAAGGGCTGGCCTGGACAGCAGAGAAAGTGCCTAGGCAGGCACTCCAAGACTGGAGAGCAGAAGGAAATGTGGGAGACTGGACACGAACCCCCAAGATGCACACAGTCACGTCCTGGCACCTCACAGCAAAAGGGACCAAGTGAGAGATCCTGAGATGGGAGGTGACGCTGCATCACCGCAGCAGCCAGATGTCACCACCAGAACCTTTCCTGAATGGGAGGGGGAGGGGCTCCACATGCACAGGGGGAGGCTGTGTGACCACAGAGACAGTGTGGCCACAGCCAAGGCTGCGGACATCTAGAGGCTGGAAGGGGGCAGAAGGGACCCTCCCTGGAGCCACCAGAAGGGCCCGTCCTGAAGAGACTTTGACTTTCAGCCCAGAAGGCTCATGTTGGGCCTTCAGAATTGAGCACAAATTTGTCACTGAAGCCACCAGGCTTGTGGTCTCTCATCACAGAAGCCCCAGGATGATCATAGGGGAGGAGGCGGCTAGGCAGGAGAGCCAAGGAAGGGCTGTGAGCAGAGGGAACCCCAACAGTGAGGCCCTGCCATGGAGGGTCAGAAGGAAAGGCCGAGAGCAGTCACAGTACACCACAGGGATCAAGGTTAAGAGGCACTCAAACTACTTTGGCTGAAAAGCACTGACACCCTCCAGGGCCAGTGTCCTGGAGAAAATGACTAGCAGGAGAAAAGCCTGCACTTGTCCTCCATTTTATACATCTTTACTCTGAGCCATTTCTTTGCAGTCACTTTGTCTGGGTCTGATGCTGAAGGAGCCAAAAAAGCCAGTCCAGCAGGAAGGCAGGGCTGGAGGAGGCAAGTCACCCCTGCAGGAGGGTGAAGAAATAGCCCTAGTCTGCTAGGTCATCAGAGAGCTACACATGGAATGACTACAGGACCCAGCATTCCACTCTTGGGACACACCTGACAGAGCTAAGTGTAGGGACTGGGAGAGCCACAGTAGCACAGTCAGAAAGTGGGAACAACTGGAGTGTCCGTGGAAGGATAAATGCACACACGTGTGGACCACACACTGGAATATTACTCAACCCTGAAAAGGAAGGACATTCTGACACCTGCTCCAACGTGGATCGACCTTAAAGACACTTCTCGGTGAAATAAGCCAGTCACAGAAGGACAAACACTGCAGGAGTCTATTCACAGCAGGTCCCTAGAATCACAGAGCCACAGAGACCGGGGTGGGGGGACGGCCTGGGGGGACTGAGGAGGAGAGAGAGTTGATGTTGAAAGGACAGAGCTTCCTTTTGGGGGAAGGGAAGGTTCTGAAAGTGGATGGGGCCGGTTACACAGTCACGTGAGTGCTCCTGGTGCTGGGGCATGGCAGATGGTAAACATCACATAATGTCCACCTGCCATAGTCAAAGTGGGGCCCACACCCAGGGCTGCGCCTCACCGGGCCATCCTTGAGTGACTTGAGGACCTCATTCCACAGCTTGGCATTGCTCCTATCCTCCTTGATAAGGCTGCTCTGCTGGGCTGTGAGGCTGTAGGGCTCCAGCTTGGTCTTCTTGGTGGCCCAGGCGGCGGGGCTGGCCTGGCCTGGGAGAGCAGAGCAGAGCAGGGTGGGTGAGGAGAGGCGGAAAGTCCCCTGCAAAGGTGCAGATGGAGAGCTGGGGACACCGGGGACACCCACCTACGGACTTCCGCTTCCACTTGCCCTTGCCAGCACTGGGGGACGAGAGTGCCATATTTCGGCTGTTCTCCTTCTCCTTCTCCTTCTCCTTCTCCCTGTTGGCAAGGGCTTCCAGGTAGCCTTCTGGGTACTACAAGAGGAGCAGGCATCAAACATCCTGTGGGGCTCAGCTCCGGCTGTGCCCCGCCCTAGCACCTGGCACCAGATCTCCAAAGGGCCTGATGCCCAACCCCTAAAACAGGATGGCTGGAGGGGCCAGACAGAGCAACTCACGCCTAGCTATTCAGGAGACAAGATGGGGAGGAGGCTGAAGTTTCAAGGCCAGCCTGGGCAAAAAGCTCAAGATCCCCTCTCAACAAAAGCCAGGCACGGTTGTGAGCACCTATCAGCACAGCTGCAGCAGAACCACGGCTGGAGGAGGAGCACGATCCAGGCTGGCCCAGGCAAAAACATGAGATTACCAAAAACGTAAGTGAAGCAAGAAAAAGGCTGGGTTGAGAGCCTGTGTTCAAACCCAGCCGAGGAAGAGCTAAACTACTAAATGTAGTAAGCTGAGGGGGCAGGTGGTGGTCAGCATGCCCAAGGGCCAGGCTTCCATCCCTAGCAGGTGGCGAATGCCTTCCTTCACTAGGCGCCTGGGGCAAGGGTCAGGAGCACTGGGAGGCTGCTGCTGCAGGGTGTTCAGCCCTAAAATAAGAACCATTACATCAAGGGAGTGCTAGCTGGACTGCCACAGGAAGAGGCACTTAAGGACTCTGTATGGAGTACGTGTGGCTGTGACCCAAAGAAGCTTCATTTACAAACAGTGGGGGGCCTGCAGGCTTTTGGCCTGGGGATGGACCCAGGAGGCAATACTCCTAGGAGGCAAGCTCCCCACTGAGCTGGGGAAGGGGCGAGCCCTGGCCCTCACTCCTGCCAGGCATCAGCACCTGCAAGGGCGGAGACTGTCAGGTGCGGAAGGCAGCGGCAGTCACACCTGACTAGCAGCTTCATCAAGCCTTCAGCCTGTAATCCCAGCACTTGGCTGGCTGAGGGAAGATGAGGCAGGAGAACCCTGGGCGACATAGAAAAATACTGCCTCAAAAGCAGGTTAATTAACTAATCACAAAGTTCTGGTAGGAACTCCTACCAGAAGCTGACACCCCAGGACTATGACCTCTGAAATTCCCCAGCTGGCCCACGGGTCCCCAGAGGCAGGGCCATCGATCCTTAAACAGCCCCCCAACTTATCTATCTGCCGTAAAGCACCTCCACAGAGAGAGAGAAAGCACAGGAATTACAGCATAACACAACCATACTCAGCAGACTGGCTACACTGGTGAGTGGCGCTCGAGACCAAGCCCCTCACCTGTCTGTCCACACTGACTGCATTCACCAACTTCTGTTGGTCTCTGTGTGCCAGCTATGGAGAGGTAAGAGTGCAGAGCAGAGAACACACCAGCTGGAGGTGCGGCTCAGTGGGGAGAGCTTGCCTGGCATGCTCGAGGACCTGGGTTCTGTTCCCAGTCCAAAAGAAAGAAAAACATCAAACACTAGTGGCTGGGTGCTAGGAGGCCATGTGAAGGCGGAGGTGGAGACCAGAGTAGGCAAGGACTGCCAGCTCCACCACCTGCACCTGGAGTGCTACCAAAGACCCATGCGTTAAAAACTGGCAAAGCCCTCCACGAACACAGCTCTGATCAGAAAGCCTGGTTCCCACACTGCTAGGTGACAGCACACTCAACACCGACTGGCTCGCCTAGCTGGGGACCTGGAGGTCATGCTTGAGACGGGAACCCCCAAGAGCTAGGAAGATGGACTCCAATCAGGACACCTGGGCCAGGTACAAATGCTGAGCCCCTGCACGAGGCGGCCTGACGCACCTGCATGGTGAGCCCCAGTCTCTTGATCCGATCCTTGCCCTCCTTGGTCCAGGGCCCAGGCTCGTCGTCGTCCCTCCGCAGCAGGTAGCGCCACACGAGGAAGCCAGACTTGCCCTTCTCGGGCCAGTACTTCACCACCTTGTAGATCCCGTCGTAGCGGTTGCCCTCGGCCGGCGCGTACTTGCTGTGTTTGCCGCCCTTCATGTTCCGCACCACCCTCACCGGCTTGCCCGACCGCCAGTCCTTGGCCTCGGCCCCCTTCTTGTCATTGATGGGCGCGGAGCAGTTGAGAGCCAGCGCCCTGCAGAGAGAGGGGCCCCGCGGTGCAGGTTGGAACGCAAGCCCTAAGCTGGCACCCGGGAATGCATGTGGCCTTCTTTGAAAACAGGTCTTTGTGGGTGACACCAAGTCTAGATGAGGGCATCCTTCATCTGGGGCCCTAAGTCACATAGTTGGTGACCTTATCAAAAGGGGACACAAGCACATGGGCACAGGAAAGAAGGCAGGTGGAGGCGGAGATTGGAGTGGGTCGAGGACTGCCAGCTCTAACAGCTGCACCTGGAGGGTCCCTAAAGGCCCGTGGTGTCCCCTAGGGTGGCCCCACTGGGAGGTAATGGAACCTTTCAGAAGGGCCAGGTGGAAGGTCTCAGGTCATGGGAGGGCCCTCTTTGTCACATCCTGGCCACAGGTGAACAGTTTTACCCCACCACACACCCCACCAGGCCACAGGCGACAGGGCCACCCAGCCATTGACCAGGACATGAGGCCCAGCTAAGCCTTCTCTTTACAAGCAGGGAGTCGCAGGCTTGGTTACAATATCAGAAAACTGAAGGAAAGACCAAGAAGGCCACTGCCCTGGGCAGGACAACTCAGGCAGTATGGCCAGGCTCAGAGCAGGGCTCCAATGGAGAGAACAGAGGTCTCGTTTTGTACTCCTCAGTTTATGGACTCTCAGGACACAGGATACGAGTGCACCAGGAGGCAAAGATGGCAAGGAGGTCAGTGAGGAGGGGCAAACCCTGCAGGTCTTTCCACCTAGGCCTCCCCTGAGATGGTGGCAGGGCACAGAGGCCAAATGCAACCACACTAGAGGGTGGGCTTGGCACTCTGACACAGGACATCATCTTCAGAAAAAACAAGCCGGGCCTGGTGGCCACCCCTGTCATCCCATTACTCCCGAGGGCAAGGCAGAAGAGGTCACAATCCTGGTACAAAAAGCAAGACCCTACCTGAAAACTAACCAGAGCACAAAGGGCTGGAGGTGTGGCTCAAGCGGTAGAGGGCCTGCCTTGAAAGGGAAGGGCCCAGAGTTCAAACTCAGAACAAGAAAAAAAAAAAAAAAAAAAAAAAAAAAGTCACCTCTGTCTGTGGACACATGCCCTTAAAAACAAAACAAAACCAAAAAAAAACAAAACAAACAAAAAAAACTGGGATTTCATAGAAGTTTGTATTTAGATTTTATAAAAGAGCAATTCCCCATATCCTTATTTTCTGAAAACATCATTTTTAACAGCTACTGAAATTAAAATACTCCATTAAACAAATGTATAACCATCCCTTCCTAATTTTTCAGTATTTGGTAAATATTTTGCTGCTTTAGGGGGGGAACTTCTTACCTTCCCCCATTTCCTGAATGTATTTCTTAAAGTGGAATTACAGGATCCTAAGTGCATGTTGGTGGGTCTTCCTCGCACAGTGCTTTCCAGAAAAACGACACCAATGAGCATTGCTACCTGACCTGCACACTGGCCTCTGCCTGGATATTGCTCAGCATTTTGGAGTTTTGGGCCACTTTAGCAGGGGAGATAAATAAAGGACCTTATCATTGTCTCAGGCCATTTTGAATTTCTTGTTCATTATTTGCATATCCCTTGCTTTTTTTTCTGGCAGTACTGGGTTTTGAACTCAGGGCTTCATGTTTGCAAAGCAGGCGCTCTACTGTCTGAGCCACTCCCCCAGTCCATTTTTTTCTAGTCATTTTGGAGATGGGTCTCTCCAACTATTTGCCCAAGCTGCTGTCAGCCTCCCAAGCAACTGGGATTATAGGCGTGAGCCACTGGTGCTCAGTTTATGCCTTTCTCATGCTGAAAAAGCCCATGACCATCAGGTAACTGAGGGTCAGCAAATTCCAGCCTACAACCTGACTCTGCAAATAAAGTTTTATTGGAACGCAGTCCTGCTCCTTCACTTCCACAGGGTCTATGCTGCTCTCATGCTAGGATGGGAGAGCTGAATAGTTGCAAGGGACCTTGAGCGGCCTGCAAAGCTGGCCTGTAGGAAGGCAGTTTTAGTGCATCAGAACAACTTAGAGCCTTCTAGCAAACAGAGATGGGAAGGAAGGACAATCCAACACCTCCACATTCCACAGCAGCAACCTCCTTGCTGGACTCGGTGCTCAAAGCAAAACCAAAGACAAGGCAGAAGCATGTCAGTGGAAACCTAAGAGGACCATTTTCCACGAACCTGTTGGTGTTGGTGAGCTTCTGGTCGCATGACTGCTCAGCGGTCCGCTTGTTGCCAGAAAGGTCTCTACCTCCGCTGCCCGTGTATGTGAAAAAGTTCCCATGATCCTGCGACAGTTAAGAAAAAGGCCAAGTAAAGCCTCTGGAGGAGAGAACCTGCTGAAAACAAACCACGTGGAACAGTGCAGCTGCTGGAGAAGGCAAGATGGTGGTAACTGAAGAAGGTAAACAAAACACCAGAGGCCCAGCAACTCTGGGCAGGGTATATCTACCCTAAAGACAAGAAAGCAGGATCTCAAAGAGATATTTGTATGTATACATGGCAGCAGGATTCACTGATAGCCAAAAGGTGGAAACAGCCCAAGTGTTCACCTCCAGATGATAAAATGTGTTCATCCACACAGAATATTATGTGGCCAGGAAAAAGGAAGGTCATCTTGACATTGCTACAACACTGATGGACCTTGAAGACACTGTACTCGGTGAAATGAGCAGACACAAAAGGACACACATTGCAATCTCCACTCACAGGAACTCTCTAAAGTCATCAGATCCCACAGAGACACAAAACAGGATGGCAAGTGCCAGGGGCTGGGGAGAGGAGGAGAGGAAGTTAGTGTTGATGGGGACAGCACTTCAATGTGGGGACATGGAAGGTTCTAGACATGATGATGGGGACGGTGGCACAGCCACATGAGTGCACTGATACTACTGAGCTGTGCAATAGCCCCTTCACTGAGCCCCCCCCATGCTGAGGCCCCAGCTGAGGCTGCACCAGATGCTACTTTCAGGCCTCTCCGCAATAGGCCGCGACTTCTGCACGTGGGGTGCAACAGGAAACCTAGCACAACATTTTTTTTCCTTCCTCACAATTCCTAGTGACTTGTTCCTAGCACCCTCCGCCTGTGTTCCTTCCTTAGGAAGTCAAGAACTTTTACCTTTGCACTTAAAAGGAAGCTCTCTGGGGTAACTGAACTTCAGTCATCAGTACTCTTGCGCACTGGGGTCATTGTCAAGAAAGCGAGGGTCACTTGGACACAAGCTGCGATAGTGCCACATGTTGACGGCTACTCAATGAGCATGAGGTAAGGAGCACATAGAGCATGGAAATGCTGGACTAGTGAATGACTTGGGGGCATGAGAGCTCATCACGCTGTGCAGACTGGCACACAGCTTAAAATGCTTGGATCATTTAGTTCCGGAACTTTCCACGAAATTCTTATTCCTGGGCCATAGTTAATAGCAAACAGCTATGAACAGCTCAACTACAGATAAAGGGGGCAGCTGTACCCTTAAAAATGGTCGTGATGAGAAACTGTGGCATGAAGATGAAGAAACTGCCCTGAACTCACCACGTCATCCTCGTAGCCACCGGCCAGGACCAGGGAGTATGCCCCGTCATTGCTCCTGCCATGGATACCCGCCACATGAGGCCGGTGGACACCCGATTCGCTGACCTGCCATCAAGAAACAGATGGCACCTTCTGTAGTGACCCGAGTTCTCGCCTCACAGGACCAGAGGCCTGATGCTCACAGCCAGCGTGTCAGGCTATGAGTCCCCCAGGAGCACCAAGCCCCCAGATGGCCTAGGTCTGCCCACCCAAGGGAGCCGCTGGCTTCAACCCTGACCACCACACGGTGCCCCACCTCTACCCAGGGAAAGAGAGCGTGGCCAGCATCTGGGGGCCTGAGTTCAAGCAAGGCTGTGACAAAAGCCACCTCTGCTGGGCACTCAGATCAGCCAACCACTCACTCAACACAAAATGAAACCATTTGAAGAAGGGGCCACCAGTAAGTGCCAGGCCTGGGCCGGCCACTGAGGCGTGGGTAAGAATGGTGGTACTCAGAATCTCCTCCCACTGTGCCCGTTCTATTGTCCTTTGCCTCCATGACAAGACTGATCCCATACATCCAGCTTTTGGTGGGGGGGCTTCACCCTGGCCAATCCTGCCTAAGGGGACACTGGCTATGTCTGGGAACATGTGTGGTGGTCAGCACTGGAGGAGCTCCTGGCCAGGGCTGCTGCTCAGCACCCTGCAGTGCCCGGGACACGCCTGAGGAGGACTGGTCTATGTCCACAGAGCCCAGTCTCCTCTCCCAGTGCTGTCAGAGCAGCCTAGGAGCAGGCGCTATGTGACTAGTCACAACCGGGCCAAGAGTCCACTCCAGCTGCTGCCCACCCTGACTGGCAGTTCTTGAGCACAGATCAAAGCCTGAGTGGTGTGCACTCCAACATGACTCGGGACATATTTCTTGGCCTGGTGACACATGGTCACAAAGCCACGCCTCCAGCCTGTCTCCACGCCTCTCCTGGTCAGACAAGGTCCCTGGGGGGGTCCTGTCACTACCTTGGCTGCCCAAAAGATGCAGGGCAAGACAACGCAGCCCAAAGAGGGGCTCGTGGGAACATGGGCGTCCACACTTACCTGGACCCGGAACCGCCACATGGTACCCACAGGGACCCCTGGGATGGGGCCATAGTGGTTGGACGGGACGATGGTGCATTCCTTCGTGCGGCCCACACACGCCATGCCCTGACCAGGTGGGAACAGAGAGATGGTGGGTGAGTGCTTGATGGGGAGGAGGGAAGGTGGCCAGGGAGAGGACCTGCCTCACCTTGCCCCAATCCCGCTGTGAGGATGATGTGGCCGAAGCCATCTTCGCCTTCTTCTTGCTCTCTCTCAGCCTCTCCCCTGCCAGCACCACTTCACTGGCATCGTTCCGACAGTCAGGGCAGTACCTGTGACGACAGGGCTGTCACCTCCCACACAGCAGCAGTAGCCAGGGTCTACTTGTCATTCTACCCACAAGGCCAGGTCACTCCACACCACTAACACTCTGCACTGCCCAGAACGGGGACCACATGGCACACGGGGCCATTTCAACTTAAATTTACAAATTAAGCAAAATGGGCAATCCAGGTCTTTGGTGGTGTTGGAAGTGCCCTGCAGCCGTGAGGACAGCCTCGACCTGCAATGTCCCCACCATCACAAAACATTGTGTCAGACATGGGCTCTCCTGGTCCCTCAGCTGTTAAGACCCTACAGCTCTCCCATGGGGCAATAAATCCAACAGTGGGAAAGCAGCCAGAAGTCAGGCACAGGAAACCCCATGGGCCCTCAGTTTCCCCATCTCCATGAGGTTGGAGCAGGGGGAGAAGTGCTATCTCTGCATTCAGGGGGTAGGGGGTTGACTGCCAGCATAGGCAGGGTCCTCAGGCCCCAGCCCAGGGACACAACCGTCCCACCTCACCCATGGTCACAGTACAAGTGCCAAGATGGCAGCAGCCAGCTTTTGGGAGGCCAAGGATCCACAAGCTCTCCTCCCCAGCTCCCTGGGGTCCTGTCCCTCACCACTTTTTTCACTCCCCCTGGGGTTTGCTAGGTGACTGATGATGTCAGCCCACTCACCACTCGGCCTCAGTGGGGACGCTGCTGAGGGGTGGGCAGAGGCAGTATAGGTGGTACGCCATGTCACACTCGTCACACATAAGCTGCTTGTCTGGTGCCTCCCGGCCCCCGCACAGGTGACAGGCACAAATGCGGCACAGCTTGTTTGGGTCGTCCTTGCAGTACTTGCAGGAAGGGCCGCTCTTCCCTGTGCACAGGAGGGCAGGGTCAGCCCCACTGGACAAGGGTCAGTACCCTCACCCATGAGGACAGCACAGAGAAGCAGGCTCAGGACTCACGTCGCATGGGGTTTTCCACCACAGGGCTCCCTTCGCCTGGGCGCTCGATCTTGAAGACTTCATCCACAAAGACAATCCGACAGTCATTGAGAGAATCATCCCTGTGGGAGAACATTCCAGAACATTAGAACATTCCAGCTGCCCAGCCCCACTGCAGTGCCTGACGGACATTTGAACCCTGAGAGTTCTAATGAGGTCCAGCAGGAGGCTGCCAGGGCCTGTGCATGCTCCCGTCCTGCCAAAGTTCTGCCAAATTGGATCGAGGTTTAAACAGCACATAAACCATTTGGGGGACCCATCAAGCCTTTGGATACACAAGGCCGATGTGTGAAAATTCATTGAGGCTGCGGCCTGGCTCAAGTGCTAGAGCACCTGCCTACCAAGCACAAGACCAAGTTCAGACACCAACACTGCCAAAAGAAAAAAAAAAATCCCCAAAAAGAAATGTCTAGAACTAGACAGTGTCAAGCATTCAAGAGAATGCTATCACGTGCACAGTTAAAGAATAATCAGTGTCAATTTCACTCAGAATAGATAGGAGTGAACACTCAACCCAAGAGGCCAGGACTGACCCAGCCAACGAAGACCCCACTAGCTTCTCACTATGCACCCCAGGCTGGGCTCAAACTTGCACTTCTCCTGCCTCTGACTCCTGAGTGCTGGGATTACAGGTTCAAAACCAAGCCTGCCTATGGCCTCTTCTGATTCTTGATTTTATGTTAATGTCTCCAGTGTGACATTATTCTGTTGTCTTATAAGATGTCACCAAGGGAGAAACTTGATGCAGGTGGAACGCAGAAGTTTCCGTGTGATTTCTTAACAACTCCAAGCAAATCTACAATTCTCAAAGTCAAGTTTAAAGGAAGCAAATGAGAAATGAACTTTGTCACGCACAACTGTCAGAGGGCCGGCATCAGACACCTGTCCTGGAGATGTTGGCACTGCCCAAAGGCCACCTCTGTGGTCTTGGCTCAGAGAAGCTCTCACTTGTCTGTCATCTGCTGATGGGTCTCCTTGGCCAAGCAGGGTGCTGCCCAAGGAAGGGCCATGGCTTAGTGTCCTCGTCACATATCCTGATCCAGCAAGTACTGACAAGTGAATGGTGCCCTGAAAAGGTCATGCACCTGGAGCTCCAGCTACTCAGGGCAGGAGAATCCACGGAGCCCAGGAGTTTGAGATCAATTTGGATGACGTAGCCAGACCCCATCTCCAAAACAAAAACAGATGGTACCACGGACCGGCGCATCCCAAGCTCACTATACGCAGGGCTTCACTCAGGCTGCACCCTGGTACCTCCCCACCCCTTGAGCTCCCATTTCACAGAAAAAGCAGCCACCCCTCACAGCTGATGAGACTTGGGGACCAGGGCTGGGGCCCCCGAATCACAGCCACACCCTTTCCTGCTGTGCCTTCCTGCATCCCTCTGACCAATACCTCGAACAAACACAGGGTCCAGGCTGAGGGCCTGGCACACGTAGCATTGGCTGGCTGGCCTGGTGCGGTGGCTCAGGAGGGCCTAGGGACGGGACAAGGGCAGACAGCAGACCTGGCCCACCCGCTCACCCGAGCCTGACGTTGGCGTAGAGCTCCCGCGCCGTCCTGGTCTCGCGCTTCCTGCAGATCTCTGCGTCGTACCAGAAGCCGCGCTCCTTGGGGTGGTCGGGGTTGTAGTTAAGCATCACCACCTGGCCCACTTCCAGCTCCTGCCATTTGAGCAGGGTGCGGGCACGCGCACGCACATCCCTCGGGTTGATGCTGACCACTCCATTCTCAGGGTAGCTGTGGGGAAAGCCCTGGCCTGAGACCACACAGATGGCACACTTCGTCCCTTTATGGGGCCATGGACTCAGAAGCAAAAATGGCACCACACAATGACGTGTAAGCCCCCTCCCCTCTACTGAGAATGCAGGCACAGACCACGTTCAGTCTATGGAGGGTGGTATGGCAGGGGCGTGGTCTCCACAGAGGCAAAATCCTTGTCCCAGGCACCTGGGAATGTGGCCTCTTTTGTAAATAGGGTCTTGGAGATGAAGCAGGTTAAAATGAGGTCAGACTGGAGCAGGGCAGGCCCCAGTGTCCTTATAAAAGAGAAGGAACAGAGGGGAGGACATCATGGAAAGACAAAGCAGAGTGGAGGGAGGGAGGGAGGGAGGCTGTCACAACACCCAGGGGGCTCAACGATTGCCACCCCGCACAAGCTACAAGAAACGGTGAAGACAGATTTTCACCTCCAGACCCAGCATAGGAACCCAGCCCACCTACACCTTGAACCTGGACTTCTGGAACCATGACAGAATGGATTCCTGTAAGCACCCAGCTTGTGGCACCGTTTGATGGCAGCCCTAGGAACCAGATACCAGGGGAAATGTGGGGCAGGAAAACCAACTTTCTCAACATGCAGGTGCCGGGAGCAGTTTTGTGGAAAAAGACATTATCTTGCTTATGTAAATACAATATACCAGACATTAGACTATAACAGGAAGTTGTTACGCTAATCCTCAGGTATATTGTGCTTACCACATACACACACACAAAAAAAAACCTAAGTGTTAGAACTAAAAGATACATTCTGGCAAGTGTGGAGGCACACAGTTGTGATCCCGGGAGAGGAAGGAGGATCTCCAGTTCCAGAACAATCTGAATTACAAAGTGAGAACTTGTTTCAAAATGAAACCAATTTGCCCAGCAAAAACTGTTAGGCCTGAGGCTGGTGATCTGGCTCAGTGGTGAGCGCTCACCCGGCATGTGCAAGGCTCTGGGTTCCATCCCCAGCAATGGGGGAAGGAAAAAAATTGCCACATAAGCATGAGAGACAGCTCCAAATCTACTGTTAGCTCTATCATCTCACGCTCATCACTTTTTCTAATGAGCCACGAGGAGCAAAGGTTGACAAACTTCCTCTACAAATGGCCAGACAGAAACCATCTTCTGTCTGCCGCTGCCACACACAGTACAAAACCTGATGGCTGCTAGTGTGTTTCAACAAAACTTTTTTATAGGAAGAGTCAGTGGGCCACATTAGGCCTTAGGGCTATAGTTTGCCACCCTCAACCAAGAACAGGTGAATCTTGTGCTTGCTGGGACCTGCCCAATTTTTCCAGTAATGTTTCACAGCACTAAAGCGAGCATGAGCCCCTCCTCCTGGGCAGGAGGACCCTGCCAGGGACCAGATGAAGGCCCTGTGCCCTTAGAAGAGGAGGTCTGTGTTGCAGGCAAGATGGGTTTGCTGCCTGGGTGCCATCTCTGCATTCGTGTGCTAAGGCTGGAATGTTCCCGACTGAGAGAGGGCATTCAGGGAAGAGCTGAGGTTAAGAGTCAGGAGAACGGTGAACTTATAAAAGGAAGACCATTGTCCCGTGAGCACTCAAAAGGGCCCCTGTCATAATCACCCGCTGGACACCTTGCCCTTGGACAAGTCCTCAAGCCTGGAACCCAGGTGTGTGATTGAAGGCACCTGGCCCAATGCGATCTTGTCATGGTAACCTGTACCATCTCCATGCCCACACAGGACCTGAGCCACAGGAAGCACTCAGAACAGCTGCGCGATGACCAGAGCTTTGCCATCCGAGGGATGGTACCAGCCTCCCACATAAGATAGCTCCACCCCGTAACTGAGCAGGCAAAGTCCTCCCAGAGACCTGAAGAGGGGACGGCCCTGCTTTGTGTCCACTCCCTAGCAGTGTCGCTTAGACATGAGGTGGGGATTCCATGACACCGACTGTCACCACCCAGACGTACCAAAGCTAGCCTAAGCAAGTGTTCTGTGGAGCCTGGTGCCCCAGGCCAGCCACAGGGCCAGGACACTCACTCGTCGTATTTCACGCGGTAAATGATTCCTTCCTCCGGTGTCGAGCTGGCCGTGGAGCTGCAGGGCTCGTCCGGAGAGGGAGTCTTTCTCAGCACCCTCACGACCTGCGCCTCAAACCATGCGCCCATGCTGGTGTCACGGGCGTCCACATACTCATTCACCTGCAAGAACGGGGGCCTGTCAATCCAGTGGCCCCGGCGGCGGGCGGGACACACGGGAGCATACCTAGGTGCCGAGCGCAGACAGTGCAAACTCAAAGGCCTCCAGGCAGATTTCTAAACCTCGGCAACACGGATGCAGAGCCAAATCATTCTGAGTGTCCTGAGCCCTGCAGGTGCCAGCAGTGCCCCGGCCTCCATCCACTCCGTGCCATGAGCTCCCCAGTAGAGACAGCCGCAAATGTCCCCAGACACGGTCCAGGGGTCCCCAGGAGTAGGACCCCCTAAGAGCCAGCAGGCCCACCAAAAGCAGTGGGCACAAAGGCACAGGCTTATCTTCACAGGACCCACAGCTCAGCCCCAGCCATGGCTGCCAGGCGGCCAAATGAGCCCAGAACTTCTGACTTGTCAAGAGATGCTGCAAAGCCAGAAGATCCTTCTGTGAAACTTCGGGACCTTGGAGGGGGACAATGAGTCCAGAAAGTTCCAGCCACTGTGCAGGTCCCAGAGACACACACGAGGCCCCATGCTGACCTCGGCCTCGCAGGTCCACCCAGGGATCCCTGAAGCCCCTATGTGCTGGTCAGGATAGTGAAGAACCAGCTGTAGACCATGTCAGGCTGAGGTGCCCAGTGGGGACAGAGAAGGGCCTGTGAGGGGCACACAGGGCAGGTGATGATGCAGGGCTCAGGGGCTCCCCTGGAAAACAGGCTATTGTGACACTGCGCGCGAGCAGCCTCGGGGAGCCTCACCTTGTATAGCCCCAGGTCAGTCTCATCCCACGCGTCCTTGTCATCCAGGCCAGCCTTGTCATCAGGGTCGGCAGCTGCTTCACCGTGCGTGGAAGACTTGTCTGACTCACTCTGGCCCAGGCAGCAGCCCGAGTCAGTGTCAGAGAGCTCTGAGTCCCTCTCCTTGGCGCTGGGCGGCAGCACCAGGCTCTGCCGCACCAGCAGCTGAATCGTGTCGTTCAGGCGCACGTCGTAGTCGAAGAGCGTGTGGCCATCCTCCATCTGCAGAGACAGAAGCTGTTTGTTACCAATCAAGGTGACATCCCACCAGGTGCCATGGCTCACAGCTGTAATCCTAGCTACTTGGGAGAGTGAGGTCAGGAGGATGGCAGTTTGAGGCCAGCCCAGGAAAGTAGTTCGTGAAAGCCCACCTCCAAAATAACCAGAGCAAAATGGACTGGAAAAGTGGTAAGCGCATGCTTTGGAAGAGCAAAGCCCTGAGTTCAAACCCCAGTCCCAGCAACAACAACAACAAAAAAAACAGTGACATTCCAAGGAAACATCAGGCACTGATGACAATGGCCATCATGACTAGCGGTCTTGGACAACCACAAAGCCGGCTTCCTAAGTTTCTTGCCTATTCCCCTAGTTCACGTTACTACCCTCCCACCAGGTAGCTGAGTTTGTGCGCCACCCCTCTCTAGTCCCCACTGCCATCTCTGCCACACCAGGTAGCCCCAGGGCCCTGCCATCCAAGCTGCTGCAGCCTCAAATGTGCCAGCACCCAGTAAGTCCCCTCCCACTTGCACCCCAAAGGCTCTGCTCCCAAGGGCCGTCATTTCCTGTGGTCGTGCTCTGGAGTGCGGGGTCCCTGGCCAGGAACACTCCCAGTCTGATCACCACAAAGGTCCCCAGACATGGGGGGTGGGGCAGCATCACTAAAGCTCGGAGCCAGGATGCTAAGGAGAGGGAAGGGGAGTGAGAGGTCAACAAAAGGTCAGGTAACCCTGCTTTCTGGATTTTCCCTGGGAGTTCAAAGGCTGGGCTGCTATTACTATGCACCTGGAGTCAGAGTGGGGGCTGAGTCCCAGAGTCCAGGTCCTTCCCTACTGGGGACTTTTACACTTTGTTCACAACAAACCCAAGAGCCTGGTGCGTGGGCACTGTGTCAGGGTCCTCACCTCATCTCTTGCTGCAGGCCTCCGGGGCAGCTCTGAGGCAGCTTACAACCCCAATGCACATGCCACCCAGTTCATCCAGCACACAGGAGAGCCTCCCAGGGGGTCAGCGCCCCAGCCCTCCAACCCAAGAGCAGCTTCGACTCAGACACAGGTGCCATGGATGGAAAGAAGGGCCCAGTCAAAACACGCGTGCAGTGCGCACCACAGTATCATCCCCAGGAGGGAGGGGCCAATCTACCAACAGATGGAGGACCCACAGCGTGCTCCATCCCCACACTGGAGCAGCAAGCAGCCATGAACACAACATGGCTCTGACCCATGCCAGTGCTCAGGGAGAGAAGCACACACAAAAGGTCTTGCAGTGCAACTCCACTGATAGGAAACATCCAGAACAGGAGAATCCACAGACAGGAAGTGGACTCATGGGGCCTGAGGTGGAGAAGTGGGAAGTAAGGGGAACCACGGAAGGGTGCAGGGTTTCCTTTAGAGATGGAGATGTTCTGAGAATGACTGTGGCAATGGTTTTGCACCTCTGCAACCGCACTTCAGACTGTCCACTCCCGCCCTTTCAATAGGTGGCCAGTATGTACATGAGCCACGGACCAGTAAAGCTGGGCAGGAAGTGTGGCTCAAGTGGTAGAGCACCTGCCTTCCATGCAGGAAACCCTGAATTCAAACACCAGTCACACCAAAAAATTTAAAAAACAAAAGAAAAGAAAAAAGACCAAGAAAGCAGTCATTTTAAAAAGAGAGGAAGTTAGTGTGGCAGTCCATTCCTATAATCCCAGCTACTTACTCAGGCAGGGTCAGGAAGACAGTGCTTGGGGAAGGCGGAGGGGACAGTTATGTGGGAGATGAAGGTGGGAGGACCTTGGTCTACAGCCCAGGCAAAAATGCAAGAGCCTCCCTGAAACCATATAAAGCTTTAAGAAGGGCTGGGGGTATGGAGTGAGGTCCTCAATTCAACCCCCCAAACACTGCTAGAAAAATTTATACATCAAAAAAAAAAATGGAAACCAGGTGCTTGCCTGTGATCCCATCACTCAGGAAGCTGAGGCAGAAGGATTGCAAGTTTCACACCAGCCTGGGCTACAAAGCAGCTGGCAGGAATGGAGTTCACCCTGTAAGACTCAACTGCACCACACAGAGGAAAAGCAGCATGGCGGGGACTGAGGACTGGAGACTGACTTGAGGGCCCGACACTGCTGTGACACTGTCCTGGCAGATGCAAACCCACAGGACCTTCCGCACCAGAGGGGCTACTGTTCTCAGGGGAGGAGTTAGGGGAGACATGTCGTGGTCACGGTGTGGCTGCGTGCAGTAAGCTCTGTACCTGTTTTGCTCTATGCTGTGCTCTAAGACTTTATTGACCACTTGTGGAAACGGGGAGAGGCCATTGACCATCACAGGAAAGCCAGCAGGTGGGACGCCCAGGGCGCATAGCAGACAATCACATCCCATGTCAGGCTTGTGACCCCCTCAGCACTGGGGACACCTGGTCACGTCATTTCTATGTGTGTCCTGGGCCCTGCAGTGTCCCTGGCCTCCACACATTCCACAAAAGGAAATCCCCATTGGTGACAGTCACACATGTCCCCAGACATGGCCAGGGGGCCCTGGGAAGCAAATTCGCCCCATAAGAATCACTGAGCAGACCAGCTGCCAGTGTCCAAGGGATGTGTACATGCTGGTCACGGAATAGCCTCTAGAGCATGATCCACCAAAACTGTCAATATGACCTTCCCCTGGGCAGCGGGGAAGGACAGACCAAGGTGGCACCTGCACCTGCAGACAGCTAAACACAGCAAGGCAGGAGCTCCCCGGTGACAGCGAGTTCTCACCCCACCGTACAGAGGAAGGTGGGGCACACCTAAGGCAGGACTTGCTGGAGGCCCGGATGAGAACAGAACCATGTGCCAAACCAGCCATGCGACCAGACAGCAGGAGTGAGCAGGACAAAGCCAGGAGCCAGATGGTCACCTCCCTGCATTGGAGAGGAGGTACACCAGGGTGGCAGATAGCTATAGGTGAATCCAATCAGAAGTGGTAGCTATGTGGACAGAGGCTAAGCCACGGCTCAGAGCAGCCAGGCACAATCCTGACCCTGGCTGTGGCCAGGCGCCATAGGTAGGGGAGCCAGTCCTGCACCAGGCCCCAACCTGCCCCCTGGCCTACCATGCACTGCTGGGACACATTCCTATGGCCAGCAGCCGGAGCAGGCCACTCTCGGCTGGGACCATGGCTCTGCATATGCAGAAAGGGGCAGCAGACAGCAGCCTCCGGCTTGCTAAGTGACAGCACCTGAATGTGTCTGGACACAAAGGTACAGAAGGTCACAAATAGGGCAGGGCAGGGACGGGGATGTGACTTAGGCCAGGGTGGCCCCGAGAGCCATTCCTACTCCAGGACTTTAGTAATTCACAAGCTGGTTGGGCAGCTTTCTGCTTCTGCTTCTGGAACTTTCCAGAAGAACCCCACAAGGGGCAGGTAGAATCTTGCACAAGCAGTTGCCAGGGCCGGGCATTTGTCTGAGGCCCCTCCCCCATCCCTCCCACAGAGAAGCTACAAGGAAGCCTCTAGACCTCCGGAGCAAGAGGCCAGGCACTGGTCACCTCCCGGGGCCAGGTTTCAACCATGGGTAACAGAACACTGGAAGTCCAGGTTTGTTACCAAGAGCCTAAAATTCCAACAGGCGGTCAATGACATCAATAAAAGCAACAGAAAACCAGTCACACCTCTTGTTACAGTTTCTGTCATTAAAAATTAAGCCCAGGGCTGGGATGCAGCTCTGTGGTAGAGCACTTGCCCAGCACGCATGAGGCCCTGGGTTCATCCCTAGCACCGCAAAATAAATAGAACAAGAGAGAGAGAAAGTCATTGAAACACGCCTGGTATGTGTCAGTGTTCCACAGCAAGTGTTCTTGTGGCCTAAGAAGATTCTAAGTTCTGTTAATGGCTTCCATCCATGTCACCAGAGTAAGCTTGTTGTCCACACCTTCCGTGTCCTTACCAATCCCTCTTTCTCTCTCTTGCTCTATGACCCACCGGGGGGAAATGCACTAAAATTCCTACAGTTTAAAGAAAACTCAAGCTGGGCCTGGTAGTGCATGCCTATAATCCCAGCACTGGAGAGATGGAGGCAGCAGGAGCACAAGTTCCAGGCCAGCACGGGCTACAAAGAGAGACCCTGTCTCAATCAAAACAAAACAAAAAGATATCACCCTTGCCTTCACTTAAGTTCTACCGCCGTGGCTAGAGCAAGAAATTTAACATGAAGCCAGCCTAGTACAAGTGTCCCCCAGCCACAAGAATGAGTTCCAAAACCCCAGACCATGCCTGAAACCTCAACCATCACCCCACCCTCTACAGACCAGAGTGTCTTTTCCTGTACACACTCTGAGAAAGCTTAGTGCATAAGTTAGGCACAATAAGAGATTCAAAATAATAAGAAGAAGCAGGAAAATTCAGACTGGGGAATGGCCCATTGGTGAGTGCTTGTCTAGTGTGTGAGGTCCTGGGTTCATCCCCAGCACCAAAAAAAAAAAATATTACAATAAATGGGAAGTTATGTGAGTGCACCATTTCTTTCTGGAATTGTCCATGAAATGTTCAGATCACAGTTGACACAGGAGAAGGACACAAAGAGGGGACCACGGGTCCATCTTACAGCCCTGGTGAGAGAATTCGATTCTGAAAGTTGAAACACATCTGCCCAACTCTGTTGCTCTCCAAGGAACTCAAATCAAAGTTAGGGCATGCCGGTATGCAAGATGTGTGCAAAGCTTAAGACAGCACTTAGGTGCACACCTAGGTTCAAATGCCTCTGGATGGAGCCAGCCATTGCTGGGGACACTGGAGACCCTGATGGTGGGACGACATTCACTCCTCGTTTGTTGGATATTGGGACACTACCGTGCGCCTGCGTACAGCTAAATGTGTCACTTAACTATGGGTCACGTTCTGAGAACTGCATAGTTGGGCAATTTCCTCATTGGCAAAAAGTGAATGCAAGTAAACCAAGACAGCTCCAACCTCACTCAGTTGGATCACTGTCACGCGGCCTACTGCTATCAAATCATTACATGGTGACTGGCTGTCCACAGATGATTGACAGCAAAGTATGGCAGGCCTTTGGGAATGTTAGATTGTCACCATAAAGAAATGATCACTGTTGGGAGGACTGCAGTTCCAGGCCAGCTGAGGCAGTTTGCGAGATCCCCATCTCAACCAATAAAAGCTGGACACAGTGGCACATCTGTCATCCCAACTACACAGGAACTGTAACTAGGAGGATCGTGCTCCAGGCTGGCCTGGGAGTAAAAGGGAGGCCTTACTTGAAAAATAACTGAAGCAAAAAGGGCTGGTGAAGTGCCGAAAGTGGCAGCGTGCCTGCCTAGCCAGCATAAGGTCCTGAGTTCAAACTCCGGTACAGCCAAAAAAAAAAAATGGTCACTGAGCCAGATACGCTCACCCTAATTTAAACATTACACGATGTACACAGGTACCAAAATATCACATCACACCCCATAAATAGGGACACTTTTTAAAAATTCATAATAAGTAAAAGAACAAAAGTAATACATAGGCTCACCATGCCTTGTTTCTGCCTACTTCTGCCTGTCTGTTTTATTTTCCAGGGACCCAGATGCCACCCATAGGCACCGAGGTTAGGAAATAACACCAAAAGTGGCCACCTGTAGATGACTTATAGACTGTGACTAGAAGAAGCTGGGGTGGGGAACGGGAAGAGATGGGATCATATGGGGGCTCCAGGAGGCCTTTAAGGGCTGAACCAGAAGTGGGAAATGCTGGCCCACACTGTCCCGCCTCACCCTGGTCAGGAGCTCCAGGCCCACAGCAACCAAGGTGCAGCAGACAGACAGCCAGTCAGCCACTGGACAGGAGATGGGAGAGAAGAAGCTTCTGAGGCAGGACCCAGCAGAGCACCTGGGACAGGTGCCCAGCACGCGTCAGGGGCGGGCACACCTCGGACAGAGAGGAGGGATGGCAGGCTACAGGGGTGAAGACATACATGTCCTAGACCAGCACTGGGACCCGTGGGGTTAAAATGCTTGGCCAATGTCCCGGTGACAAGCTCATGAAGGCGCAGGTTTCTGCAGAGGCTGCGTGACAAGGGATGGCACTGCCATGCTGGCACTTGAAAAACATGCATGCCCACTTTCAACCTTTCTCACCTGCCCATTCGTACTCTGCCAACAACAGATAGCACTCCCATCAACAGAAGCTCTGGGGGTCCTTGATCATTGAAGGTGTAGAGAGTCCTGAGACCCATTTGAGAGGCTGCCCTCAAGAAACTCTTCCGACACACTGAGCTTAGGGGTCCTGTTCTAGCACATTCCACAGCCTGCTGTTCCTACAAGGCCTGAGTACACCAACCAGAAGCTGGACAGAAGCCAGCTCCACAGTTCTGTCCTGCACCTGGGATTATAAAGCTTTCTTTTTTACTTTTTGAGACAAGATTTCACTATGTCATCCAGATTGGTCTTGAACTCCTAGGCTCAAGCAATCCTCCCACCTGAGTCTCCCAGGCCCACTCTTCCATGCCAGGGTAAAAACAAAGCCTTATTGGCACGGCCACTGCCATTTGGTTATGGATCATCTACGATGACTTCTGCGCCACAGTGGCAAAGACAAACAGTGTCAGCAGAGACTGGTCCACCTGAAGAAGTCTGCTGAGCCTGAGCATGGTGTCCTCCAAGAGGCTGGGCACTCTCCAGCAACACAGGCCCCAATGGGGGTTACAGGGGCAGGGATTCTTCCCACAGACCCTCAGGACAAGCCTCTGGTCTCTGGGAGATGGCTCTCAGATCTGCCACCTGACTTTACCCTCAAGAGAAAAATGGGACCAGCCCAGCTAGTGAGGCACCCTGACAAGTGACCCATGCCAGGCCATTCCATTTTTTGTTTGTTTGTGGTACTGGGTTTAAACTCAGGGCCTTTACCTTGAGCCACTCCACCAACCCTCTTTTGTGAAGAGATAGAGTCTCGGGAACTATTTGCCCAGGCTGGCTTTGAACTGAAATCTTCCTGATCTCTGCCTCCTGAGTAGCTAAGATCACAGGCATGAGCCACCAGCATGAGGGAGGCCTTTCCATTTTGATGGACCTATTAGACTGATCTGAACACCGCCTTTGAGGCAGGGCTGGCCGAGATAGCTCTTTTCCTACTAAATTAGCAGTTTTTGACTGGGGCGATTCTATCCCCACAGGACTGTGGGCCGTGTCTGGGTGAGGGGGGCGTGTGTAGCTGTCATGACTGGGTACTCCTGACATGGAATGGGTGGAAGCTAGGGACGCTGCTCAGCGCCCAGCACAGAAAATGACCCCAATACCCAATTACCACAGCGTGAGATGTTAGTGTCCACAGCGAGAGGGGCGACCCTGCACTAGCTGGTTTATGGCACCTTTGTGCTGAGCCGGGGTTGGGGCTGAGCCCTTCACGTTCATTACCTCATCACCAGTGCTCACTGGCTGCCACATGGCCCATCTGCAGTCAGCCATGTTTGCATAATAGAGACACAGAAGCTGAAAAATCACTGCCCAAAGACTCAGGGACTCCAGAAAATTCCTTGTCCCAGCATCACAGAACACTGAATCTGAGACCATAAACTGCCACTAATAACTGCTGTTATTTTTATGGGCAGCTTTAAAACAAACAAAAAGGCTGCCAGATGCCTGGCCTGTGCCTAAGCTCCATCCCTCCCAAGTCCTTCTGTTCTGCAGTCAGCTCCTGCATTTCCACCAGTCAAGCAACTTCACCACTGCCCTATTCAGTAGAAAGGAGATCACCTCGCCACCCTCAAACAGGCCTGTTGGCCCTGTCCTGCTTTAGTTTCAATCCACCCCATTGCAGACTTCAGGCTAATTTCTTTAAAAAAAGAAAAGGGCCATGAACACTCCAGAACCTTCTAGAAGAACAGCCTACTGGCACCCCAGCAATCAGGCTGCTTTTTCGTACTATCAGCAAACTTCATGCTACTGTGTGCCTGTCCCCACCCTCTTGTCACCACCAAGCACCTCCCTGTGGCCTGCAGCTTCCCAGTGGCGACCTAGGGAAATTGCATCACTGCTGAGGCCTGGCGTCCCTACCCGGAAACCGGAAGGGACCACACTTTCCCTTGCAAGCCCTGGGGGCAGGAGGCAGCTGCAATGCTGCATAATACTATAGGACCTTTGCCAAACTATAAAAGCTGTGCTCTGGGATGAAACCCAGTGTTGACCTCAGTCTTGGAAACCAAGGTTCCAGGTTTGAATCCAGATGAGGCCAGGCTTCCTTCTGCCCAGCATCCTGGGATTAAAGGTATGAGTGATGGCTGTAAGTAAGAAACCCAAGTGCTCCTCATCACATCTGTGTGATGGACCAAATAATACATTAAGAGTGAAGGGAGGAGCCAGGAGCCAGTGGCCCTCGATAATCTAGCTACTTGGGAGGCTGAGATGGGGAGGATAGTGGTTCAAGGCCAGCCTAGGCAAACAGTTCATGAGACCCCCATCTCCAAAATAATCAGAGCAAAATGGACTGTAGGTGTGGCTCAAATGGTAGAGCGCCTGCTTTGCAAATGCAAAGCCCTGAGTTCAAACCCCAGTCCCACCAAAAAGAAAAAAAGAATGGAGGGAGGGGCAGGGGGGCCGTGACTCAAGTGGTAGAGCACCAGCCTAGCAAGTGTGAGGCCCCAATTTCAAACCCCAGTACTGCCAAAAAAGAAAAAAGAATGAAGGGAGACAGGGTTTGGGAGAGGTGAGGTAGATGTTTGTCTAAAGTCTTCGGGTTGATCTGTTTAACATGTATATAACTTCACTCTATACATTTACCTAAGACAAAAGTCAGTGATGACAGGGTCCGGTATTGAGCGATGAGCACGCTGGAGCATTTAGAGGTGACGGGGACAAGTGTCTGTAATGTACTCTGAAATGCATCCAGAAAGACAGATGGTGGCCAAACAGGGAAGGACAGAGCACTATGTGATAAGCCACATCTCAAGAAAGGTCAAGGGTAAACTCTCTGTGACAGGAACATTTGTAT